CATGCTGTTTTTCAGTGATTGGTCCAGAGATGGGCACGTGACCCAGATCTAGCCAATCGAAATCTTTCCCTGAGAATCTTTTTGGTAGGCCCTCTTTCTGAAGTCAAAGGCGGTTTGATGTGAGCCTAGAGCTCTCTGTGGTCAGGTTGGCTGCCATATGGAGAAAACCCATCTAAATTCAGATAAAGAAATAACTAAGACAAACTGGAGAATGAGAGAAAGAGAGAGAGAGAAAACAAGGACATTTGAACCTCTGGTATCATATTTCCAAGATTAACTCCATCTCTGACTCTTCAGGAGCTGAGCAGGTAAATTTCAGTTTAAGCTAGACTGAATTATGTTTACTTAAAACCAAAAGACTTGAATTCTATATCATCATTCTCTTTAATGACTCACACTGGCCCATAGCCTGCATCCAGCATCACTTATTAATCATTCAGCCCCTGATGAGCATTTAAATTCTTTCTCAATTCCCCAGTTGTCAGTGATGCTGGGAGGAGCCTCTGTGTGCTCACCCCTTTCCACATATGTGCATTTATCTCATTAGAAGCAATTTCTAGATGTGAACTTGAACATCAAAGTGTGCTCTACTGTCCTTGACCCCCCCATCCCTGCCTTTGGCTTCCTGAATCATGGACTCTCCTGGGTCCAACTTCCTTCTGTCCTTCTGTGCTATAGGCTCCCAGGAAGTCTTGTAGCCAGATCTGGACAAAAAATGACAGGCCTAGGGGAAATCAGGCACATTTGGAGAGCCCCCGGGCTTCTGAAGCCCCACCTACAGCTCAGGTCTCACAGGCTAACCCCTCAGCAGTCCCAGAATGCAGGGATGTTCCATCTGCCAGGCAGGGGCTGTGTCCAGTTCCAACTCATGAGAAAAAAAAAATGAGAAATTAGAGAAAATCATTAAGGGGAGAGACCTCAGAGATAAATCATTCCAAATACACATCCTGCCCACCACGAGCCATGTCCCACACAGCTCAGCTGACTTAACTCTGTGCCTCATGAGCACTGGAATTTTTATCTGTCTAGTGCCAATGCCAAAGAGAGTGCATGGCACATAATAGGCCTCCAATAATCATCAGCTGAACGAACAAATGGATGCATGGATGGATGGATGGATGGATGGATGGATGGATGGATGGATGAATGGGTGGATGGATGGAGTACTCTGTGCAGCCCAAATGGGTTCAGGTTTTTCCCCTTACATACTCTAAGTCTTCTCTCTCTCCAAATCTCAGTTCCCCACATGTACAGAACAAAGTCATTGACTTAGGCCACCTCTAAGCTCCGCCCAGCTGTCTTGCTCTCGAGCCAGCTGTGTCCAGGTGAGGAATTCTGAGCCTTGGGAAAAGTAGAAAGCACCACCCATGTGGTTTGATATGATTAGATTTAAGTGCTGGGCCTTTCTTACCTCTCTGCTAGGGGTCGGCAGGCCGATGAATTTCTTCTAAATGTTTGAAGTGATGCTTGCACTAGTTCAGAATGGCAATGAAGTCAGACAGTGCAGGGCTTGAATCTAACTTTTGCCTCTTCCTGGCTGTGTGACCTTGGACAAGTGATTTAACCTCTCTGAACTCAGTTTCCACATCTATAAAACAAAGATTTCCACACTTCATTGGGTGTAAGGAAACGATGAAATAAGATGATGTACAAGCACTTAACATAGTGCCTGACATGTAGTGAGCACTCCATAAGTGATAGTGGTGTTTATCTGGGGACCTCCCAGACCCCATGTCTAGAGAATGCTATATGTTGTCCCATCCCCAGCTACGGGCCTCCACTTAGTGCACAAGGAGGAAGCAGAGCCATATTTTGAGAAAGGCTGACCTCAAACCAGAAAGAGCCTCAGGAGGATCCCCTAAAGAGGAGCCCTTCCCATCTTCATCCTTCTTCCTACATGAAACTAAGGCACAATGGCTGGAGATCAGGCAGCCACTTTGGACCATAAGGAGACCTCGAGGACAGAAGTAGAAAGTTAGAAGAAGCCAGGATCCCTGATTACCAGGCTTCTATGAAGGCAGACCTGTATTACCTACCTCAAGCTTCTTTTTCATAAATTTACCTGTAATTTCTTTAAACCACTGTTATTTGGGCTTTCCGTTTCATGTAAGCAAACATGATCTTGTCTGTCCCCATTTTGCAGATGACGAAAAGCAAGGCTCAGCGGGGAGAAGTTTATATAATTAGCAAATGTTGAATCTGGATTTGAACTCAGGTCTCTATGGCTCTTCTGCCATAGATTCTACCAAATCTTTTCCCACCCACAGTGAGATAGTCCTTCCTTCCTAGGCTACCTACATACAAGCTATTAGCTATGACCAGGGCTGTAGGGGAAGAGGAGGGGAGATATAATCAGAGAAGGCTTCACAGAGGAGGTGGTATTTAAATTGGGTCCTAGAGAATGAGATAGTAAGAAAAACTGAACCATTCAACTAGCCCTTCAGACCGAAAAGGAAATCCCATATGCCAAACCATGGCCCTGGGCAAGGTGCATCTATTGGGGCTGGCTACAGCATTAGAACATGTGTCGGGGTCCCAAGACCATCCTCAGGTTCAATGATTCACCGAGAGGGATCACAGAACTCAGTATATAGTCTTACCCACAGCTATGATCTATTACAGCCAAAGGATACAAAGCAAAATCAGCAAATAACAGCTAGAGCGAAGGCCAGAGGAAACCAGGCACGAGCTTGGCCCTCTCCCTGTGGAGTCACACAGGAGGCACTTCATTCCTCCAGCAACGAAATGTGAAAACACATGTGAGTGAGGTGTCAACCAGGGAACTCAGTAGAGACTCAGTGCCCACGGTTTTACTGGGGGTGGCCACGTAGGCACCCTCTGCCTGGCACGTACCAAAATTCCGGATCCCCAGAAGGAAAGCAGATGTTCAACATAAACCACATTGTTTGCACAAACAGTTGAGGTGCAGGGAGCTACTCTTATCAGAGGATGGCAGGAACACCCCCAAAACCCAAGTTCCCAGAAGCCAGCCAAGGGCCAAACTTGCAAGCAAGCCTTTCTCAAGATTATTTTCTAGGAAATTTGTTGAAATTATCTCCATCGTAAACTAAAGTTTTCACAACAAATCTGAACCTGAGGCACACACACACACAAAAACATTTCCTGGGTCACTTTAAAAGGAGAAATAGGGAGAAAGGTGTAATTCCTTGTGCAGAAAAGTGTTAGCCTAGCAGGTCTAACACTGAGGCTGCTATCCTTAGAAAGGCTTGCTTGCAAGTTTGGCCCTTGGCTGGCGTCTGGGAACTTGGGTTTTGGGGGTGTTCCTGCCATCCTCTGATAAGAGTAGCTCCCTGCACCTCAACTGTTTGTGCAAAAAACTGATGTGCAGGAGTCAAGAGGGGCAGCTGGTTCAAAGCTTCCTGAGAGCCCTAGACTAGCAGTCGGCAGGCCTGGCTTCTGCCCGAGCTGGCCACTAACTCGAGTTCCAACGTGCCCAGGCGTGTCCCAGAAACGAACTTCGGTTCTCTCTTCGGTGAAATGAAGGCACTGGATTTTATCTGTATCAGTTAGCTTTTGCTGAGTGACAAACCACCCCCAAAGTTGGTGGCTTAAAACAACAAACGTTTATTATTTCTCACAATTCTATGTGACAGTGATCTTGGTCAGACTCAGCCTAGTGGCTTTTCTTCTAGTGCTGCCTGGGCTCACTCGTAAGGCTGCAACCGGGGGCCAGTCAGGACAGCTGGGCCTGCCTCCATGTGGTCTCCCGTCCTCTAGCAGGCTCGCCCAGGCTGGTTGCCATGGCAGCTGGGCAGGGTGTCCAAACACAAGCTACAAAACTTTTTAAGGCCTAACCTCGAAAATCGTGTAATGTCACATTCTAATGATCAAAGAAAGACACAGCCCGGTCCAGATTCAAGGGGAGAAGAAAAAGCCTCCACAGCTTGATGGGGAAAATGGCAGCGTGTCCCAGTGCAAAGGGGTGTGGACACAGGGAGGGGTGGAAATTATAGCCATCTTTTGCTTTAACCACGCCATTTCCCCGACTCTCCGTTCATGTATTCATTCATTTTTTCACACTTGAATACCCTCTATGTCCGCAGCATTTGCCAGATATGGGGACACAGGTGACCTTGTCCTCATGGGGCTGTTCCAAACTGATGGAGAAACAGATGAATAACCAATATGTTCCACAAAGTTATAAGGAAGGAGTGTTTAATTTATAAACATTTCTTTATGCCATACTTTTTTTCCCACAAAGGATTTGAATCAATCTGCCAGAAAAGGTACAAGCGATAAAACGGTGAACTTTAACTGAAGAAGAAAATCAAAACCAAAAAGAGGAAGAAGATAGTATTTATTGAGTCCCCACTACGTCCCAGCATTTTACACACATTATCTCCCTCTATTTTTTCCATATTTTTTCCTTTTATGGGTCAGCAAACTGAGACTCATTGCAGATAAGTGACTTGCCAAAGTTCACACAGGGCTGAAGGCAGAGCTGAAAGTCACACAGCTGAATCTGGCCCCAAAGTCCAGACAGCACCGTATAACAGCTATAAAGGAGCTTCGGATTTGACTGTGAGTTTCCTAGCAGCCTGGGGGAAAAGGGAAACTGAACATATTACCCAAGTGGTCACTAGACAGGATAAAACCAGACATTTCATCAAGAGAAAGCAAAGCCCTTCCTAGCACTGCATTGATTTTCTTTTCCCAAGGGAGAGTTGATGAAAAAGAGCTCCTGGGGTAGACTCTGTTGAGCCCAGCTTCGACTGCCCAAGCTAGTGACCCTTCTGTTTCTACATGAGGAGGTTTCTGATTAAATGCCCATCGTCCCCTTGAGAAGGTTCTGTCCTCCAGTGACTATCTGTGTGTGTACGTGTGTGTATCTCTGTCTCACTGTTTTTCTCTTTTTATACCCCACCGTGCCCCGCTCTGCCTTTGGCCTCTATCCCTCCCTTGCTCACACCCCAAATGCAAAGAGCCCCTGCTACTCAAAACTGCTGGTTTTTAGGAAGTGCTGCTGTTACACTAAGAGCCTACGCACCAGACACGCAGGACAGGACTTCCTCCCCACACCGGGCTGGGCGGGGCAAGCGGGAAGGGGCCTGTTGTAGCTGAGGTGACACATCTCTGCTTGGGCAGCCCAAGCAGCAGCCGGGTCAACAGGCAACGGGAGCACAAGCCACCCTTCCCCAGGGACTCCAGAATGGACTTGTGCCACCCAGGTAAGCACCTGGAGCCAACCTCTCTGGACTTCAGCTTCCTCTTCTGTAGAATGGGGAGAATAGGATCCTGGAAGGAATCGATATGTAAACAGATATGGCAAGGGTGGAAATGCAGAAGCATGCGGCAGATGTTCGTGAGCTCACGCTAGCTGCCAAACTGTGTTTCTGGTGCTGGGAGCACAATGAACAAAGCAGGCACTGTTCTGGCCCTCAGGAGCTTACATTCCAGATGGGAGACAGACAGCAAATATATTAATGTCACACGCAGAATGAAGAGTAGTAAAGCAGGATAAAGAAGATGGGAGGGGGTAGTGGAGAAGCCCTCAAGCGGAGACGCCACTTGAGCAGAGGCCTGAGGAGGAGGGGGAGTGATCCTCATGGGTTTCTGAGAAAAAAAAAAAAAAAGCTCTAAGAGGAAGGAGCAGCTAGTGCAAAGGTCCAGAGGTGAGACTAAGGGACTGAGAAAGGTCGCTTATGTTGAAGGTGACAGTGTTGGTGACGTTGACGTCTGTCTGGGTGTTACGAAACCTTGGAGCCCATGTTTGGCTTTTGAGGGGTGAGGGTGGCCTTTGGAAGGCTAAGGACGCCACCCAGAGCCCGTGGAGGGGGCCAGGAATGAGACCCTCCGAGCATGCAGGGCTGTGTGTCTGCAGAAAAGGAGGAAAGGTGGCTGCACGGGGTGCACGGGAGAGAAGGGACAACGCTGAGTTTCTGTGGGGTGGAGAGAAGAGGAACCAAGTCCCTGTGCCCCGTGTCCTCACATTGCCCAGCATTCCAGAAGACGAGGGCTGCCAGCAGCTGGCCGGGCGCTCGGGTCCAGATGGCCTCAACCCTGTTAAGCAACAGAACCCTTTCTTCAGACAAAACCTAACACAGAGCAGTCCGACCCCGCCCCCTGGGCTCGCCTCACCCTACAGATAGAGAACCATCCATCCATTTCAACAGCCCCATTTACAGATGGAACAAAGGAGACTCAGAGAGGGAAGCAATCTTGCTGGGGCAGAGGGCTCCCCACCCCTGGATGCCTTGCCCAGTGCTCTCTCCCTGACCCCCTAGCTTCTCCCGTGGGCTTTTGGGAACAGGGGGTTTGTAGACAGTACGGGCTCAGTGAACAGGTCTTAGGCGCCAATAAGGCAGGAGACCCTGCGAGGAGAAGCCCCTGGCTCAAAGTCGCAGCAGGTGCGAGGGGCACATGAGACTGTGAAGCAACGTCCCACATGCCTGTCTTCCCAATGTTATCATTTCATTCTTTGGGGTCTCCCCCTGCAGAAGTCCTTAGGAATAGGGACGTTTATCTTCCCGATGCAAATGGGGAAACTGAAGCTCTTGGGGTGAACTGGAGGAGAGGACTGACTTGCCCAAATTCAGGTGACCATTAAATGGCAGATTAGGGCCAAGCTCCTGAGAGGAGAGAGAGCCCAGGTTAGCCTGGGCTGTGGGTGGAGAGGGGCATCAGGGGAGGCCAGAAGGGGGATCACCGCTTTGCTTTAGGCTGGCCTGGAAGGAGGTGGATTCAGTGGGGTCAATGCAAGCAGTCTGTTGCGAGATTTGAGGTCTCCATTGATTGGTTCTTCTATTCATTCATTTATTCTATGAATAGTCCTCTGGCGTGTAGGCCCTGTGCTGTGGAATGCTGGGGACAGCAGGAACCAACCCTGGGGAGCTGCTGGGCCGGGATGTAGGGGAAAGGGAGACAGATCTGCAGGACAGTGACCCAGGGCAGATGTGCAAATGACCATGGACCTGGAGCATGAGAGGAAGTGACTCTTTCCACCTGGGCAGAGGAGATCTGGAAAGACTTCCTGGAGGAGGCAGAAGGAGGAAGGGAAGGTCATTTCTGTTATGCAGACTGGGTCTTAATCAAAATGCCTCCACGGCCTGGTGACTACCCCGATCTGAGCTCAGATTTGTCATCTATTAGTGAGGATCATTGTCCTTGCCTGACCTGGGCGGTGAACACGATTTGGAGTCAGCCAGACCAGGCTCAGGTCCCAGTTCTGCACCAACCTGCCAACAGTCATGATGAGCCTTGGTTCCTCCACCTGTACAATGGGCAGATCTGTGGTAAAGGTCCCCGCAGGGCTGCCTCCCCACCTCCAGTCTTAGGTGTATGATGACATCTAGAAGCAGGTCAGCCTCCCTCCCCCAGGGCCTGCCAGGAAGGTGAGAGGTCCAGGCAACAAAGCCCCGGTGTGACCAAACACGGCACTGGCTCGGTGCAGGCAGGATGGGTGCAGTTAAAAATAGAGGCAGCTCAGTGGGGGCGGCGGGGGGGAGGAAACCACACGATGTGATGCTCCCGATGCGCCCGCAGGGCAGGCTGGGGCGGGGAGCTGCTTCCCCAGACACCCCGTTTCTGCTCCAGTGGCCTTCCCACCAGGCTCTGAGGAGCTTCTGCCCTCCGGGCCTCAGCAGAGCACCCTCCTCCTGCTCCGGAAAAAGGGAAGCGAGGCCAGCTGTCCTGGAAGCGGGGCTGTAAGCAGAACGACGGCTAAAAATATGATGGGAAAGAGGAAGGACAAAGGGGAAGTGGAGCGGAGCAGGGGAGATGGTCGGGCAGGCACCAGGCCATGCGTGGTTGGCCTGGGCATGGGGGGTAGAGGGCAGCCCCAGCCCGGGCATGGGTGTCATAGTCCACGGTGGCCTATAAGAGGTGTGAAAAGCACAGAGCCAAGTAGCGGGTAAACAGAGTTTGTGGGGTGACACTTGTTATTATCGTGTTGTTATCTTTTGTGTTTTATTAGTTGTTATTATTATTATTATTATTATTAAAAATCCGCCTCCCGTGAGCCACACCAATGACTGAAACAGGCTTGGAATCAGAAGCAGCCACTCTCAGGATGTGTTCTCCTCACCCTTCCTGAACCTCAGTTCGTCAGTTCCGAATTGCGGAGGAAACCCCCACTTTTTAACAAATAGGTGGAGGGTTGGAAGGCCCCCCTGTGTCCCCCTGTGATGGGTGAGCAGCAGTCTCTGGGCTGTCAGCACTGTCTGTCAGGTTCAAATGCACTTGGCCAATTGCCACCTGCTCGGGTCAGGACCAGGAGCTGTAGGAAAAGACATGCAAACAACCCCCCTCATTCCCTCCGCAGCATCCCACTCTCCTGGGAAACCGTTTCCAGCCATACTCGTGCCTCAGTGTCCCTAGCTCTAAGATGTTTGCATTGTTTTATTTCTTACCCAAAAAAAAGTAAGGGGTTCAGACCGTAGGCATCATTCTGCATCTTATCTTCATTCTCAGACATGTGGCCATGGCCAGCATTTTCGTGTCCGAATATCCAGGGTTGGCGTCTGATGGGGCGTGGATGGTTTGTATGGCTGTTTTCAGATGGTTAACATCAGGGTCAAGGCCTCAGAACCCCAGATGGGCCTGGGTGTGAATCCCACCTCCACCAACTTCCAACTGTGTCACCTTGGGCAGGGCACTTAACCCTTCTGAGTCTCAGGTGTCTCGTCTACAAAATGAGATTAGAAATACCTTCCTTCCAGAGCTGTCTTCGGGATCAAATGAGATAGTTGACGGGACGAGCCTCGAGCACACGGGACCTGTCACATAGTAGGTGCTCACCTAGCACACTTTTCCTTAACCAACGGCTCGGCTTGTGTATTGAGCCACGCAGATCCGAGACCCGCTGCAGTGAGTGGGAAGGAGGTGAGGGAGAGCACGGTGCCCTAGTGGTGCACAGGAGTCACCTGAAAGGACGTCGTGAGGAAGAGTGGGAGCTCCTGGGTAGAGAGGAGAAGGAAGGGCATTCCAGACAGAGGAGTACACGGCAGCAGATGACGGGCAGCCAGTGAGACCTCGAGCCGTGGGCAGCGGGCAGGGTACGGTGTGAGGTGAGGATGGGGACACACCTGCAGTAAGAATTGGAGTCTTTATCCCCAGGACTATGGGACACCGTGGGAAACTGGATTGGAAAGGCCAAGTGGAGGGAGGCAGGGAGACATGGGGAGGCCCTGCGTCCCCCAGAGACAGGAGCCCATGGTCTGGGTGAGTCTGGGGGCCATGGGAACAGAAAGAACACAGATAGGGCTTGCTGAGGAGGAGACATGAGGATGAGACAGAGAGGTGCGTCCAGGTCCCTCCAGGGGTTCTAGCCAGGGTACCTAAGGGACCATCCCAGAGCTCAAGAACTCAGAAAAAAAATGGGTAATTCTGGGACTTCCGGTTTGATCACAATGACCAGCTGCAGTGACAAGTGGATAGAAGGATCTGAAACTCAGGAAGGGGTTGGAGCTGTGGGGGTGTGTGTGGCTCCTTGGCCCGCAAGAGGAGCTGAGAGCTAAAGAAACCTGGTGAGGAGAGAAGTCAGCTAGAACCGGGCCTTGGGAGCCCATAGCTTATCTCCTGACGCTGAGGATTATCCACTGAAATGCTAAAACCCATCCTGGCTTCTCTGGGACAATCTGCCAATCTGAAAAAATCACGGGGCCCCCACCAGTTTATTGCAGAAACTGGTCTCAGGACACAAGTCCCAGCCAACAGAAGAACAATGGGAAGCAAACAAATAAAACAAAAGTCTGATCTTTCACCCCGAAGTCAACTAGAGGTGCCTGGGTTTTTCCACGATGGCGCTCAGCCTGCCTACCGCTCCCGACAGAGGAGTCCCGGCCCAGCCTCCAGCGCGGCTCTTCCTGCCATGTTCCTGCTAGTGTCTCTGCGTAGATGGCCCCTAAGGCCTTCCATCCCTGAATGTCCCCACAGCATGCAGAATCCACCTCTCCAGGGACAGAGTCTTGGGTGTCAACAGACCCAGGTTCTGATCTCAGCACTGTCACTTCTTGGCTATGTAACCTGGGGGGAAATCACTTGCCTCTCTGAGCCTCAGTGTCTTCAACTTTCTGAAAAAGACCCACTTGACAGAGTTGTGTGGATTAAATGACACGATTTATATGAAGCTGCTGGCATGGAGTAGGTGAACTTAAAGCTTAGTGGACCTCTCGCTCTGCCCTCTGGTGTGAGGGCCACCTCTCCCACAGCTTGGTAACCAGGAACTCTAGATCTGCAGAGCTCAGAGTCTCAGGAACAGAAAGGAAACTCCCAAGTGAGTCACCTGGAGGAGGATCGGGGGGATCGTGGTGGATCCCCTCCTCCTTCTCGCTCCCGGATCCGTGTGGATTACCTACTGAGGGCAAAGCATCATCTAACGGTCATTGATTTAAGGCATAGAGTGCATCCTGGACAAGCAGGACACCATCTCCAAGCTGACACCTCTGCCACACCTTCAAGAGGCATCTTCTGGTTGTGAAATGTTCAGAGGACCAGAGGGTCCCATGGCCATATGCTCCTCCCACACCTCCTTTCCTGTAAAAAGGTCCCCACGGTCTAATGTGATGTCACGCAGTGTTCTGTGTCAGCAGATCAAACTCTCTGGAAACCCTTGGGTACCAATGCCAGCCAAGACTCTGTGGGCAGAAAAGGCCCTCACATCTGTGAATCCGTAACACATGTGAATTCCAGTCAAGATGAATTGCTGGCCTCTGCAGAATAGAAGGGATCCAGTGTGACCAAGTTGCTACCAAGAAACAGTGGGTCTCTTCTCAAGAAACAATGGGTTGCTGACAGATCAGATACTCAGCAGTAGCGATAGCACAGGGAGCCTGGGTGAGTGGGCCTGCACATAGTCTCCACCCAGGCCACGCGGCTACTTCATTCATGTGCCATTGTACCGACACTGAGCTGGCCATTCAGAGACTGGCTTATGTCAACTGGCTGAGTCGTTCCGGCTGCTTGGTGGTTTCGTGCCTCTCCTGTGGTGGGTGCTTGCTGGGGAGCATAAGTATGCTTTACAAAAATCTTCCCACTCTGTGCCCGCTCCCAGAGGGCCATCCACTGGCCTCTTCTCCAGACCTCTCCATTCCCAGTCTTCTAATCTTTCTTCTTTCCAGCCTCTGACCAAGAAGGCAAGCCATCCTCTACTGCCCATGAATATATGTGTATTCTTACTTCAGGCCACTTCTCTTTCCACATGAAATGGATTAACAGGTCCCCTGCCCAAAGTTCTCACCACTGTCTTTCCAGAACACCTTTGAGCAAGGCTATATAGTTCAATAGCTGTCTAGTTTTAACTTGTACCCAAACCCGGAACCAAACTCAAACATTTCCCTCCTTTATCAGAAAGTCACCAGGAACCCTTTCAGGCAGGCATGGTGTGAGCTAAGGAACAGGTCCTGGTGCAACAGACACAGATGACATGGGGTTCTGGGCCACCTGCCCACAGGGCTGACTGGAGACTTCTGACTCTGCTCACGCCTGTCCCTAGGAGAACCACGTACAAAGGATCGCTACTGGGCTCGTTTAACTTTAAGTTGGTGAGTCAGACAGATCCATCTTGGCTATTTGACCAGGGGAGTCATTACCATATATGTTTGCAAAAGTGTCACAGGACTCTTCTTTCTGAGGACCCAGCCTGTCCTTTAGTCAGTAGGTTCTGGGTCTGAAAACTGGCTCAAGTTCAGAGACTGCCTTTTGGGAGGGGCGTGTCCTTGGGTGAGACAGATCCATTTGGCTGAGGCACATTCCTAGGGAGGGACTCAGCTATGAGCCTTCAGCAGGCTATACTCCCAGCAGCTGTGGGAATGGGTGCTTTGGTCCTGAAGAGGAAAGCTGGATGACAAAACATAACATCCATTATACATGTGTTGGACCCTTACCATATGTCAGATATTTACTGGGTGTTTGACAAAGTTCAGCTCTTTTAATACTGACAACCACACCCTAGGTAAGGATTATGGTTCATATTTCATAGATAAGGACAGTCTATCAGTTAAGTTTCAGGTCTGGCTGCTGTAAAAAAAAAAAAGGACTCAGAATAATGGTGACTGAGACATTCTCAAAACTTATTTCTCTCTCATTGAAAAGTCCACACAGTAACCCAGAGCCCAGACTCCTTTTAGCTCGGTGCCCTGCCATCTCTGGACCCAGCTCTCATCTCAAAATCCAAGATGGCTGCTCAGTCAACAGGATGGATAAGTAGAGAAATGGAGGACTTGATAGTCTCTTTGTTTTCATTCAGGGGAGATAATGTCCATCCTTGTAAAACCTTTAAGAAACGTGACCAGGCCCTTCCCAGAGCTAGAACTTGAGAGCCAGGGAGGATTTGGATAGGCAGACAGGTGGAGACACTACATAGGCAAAGGTGAGGGAGTAAGACTGAGAGTTAGGCACTTTAGGAGCAGGGAGAAGCTGGCTAGCTGGACTGGAAGGCTCTTGTTTAGAATAGTGGGGGAAAGGCTGGTTGGAGAGACCAGGGGGACTGTAGGGGACCAGGATGAGGACTTTTTCATCTAAATAATGGGGAGTCCACAGAGATTTTGACCAGGAGAGTGTTGCGGATACAACAAGAAGCACAATGGGAGGTAGAGGTGGGCCATCTGACTTGAGTGTGGGAACAGTGACAGCACCTTGCACAGAATACTGACTGGCACATACTAGCTCTTTTAATTCATTTCAAGGTAAAGAAGAAAGAGCACAGGCTTTGTAGTCAGCCCAATCCAAGGTCAGCCCTAGTTCAGCATCTCATCCCTCTGAGGCCCTAACCAGGTCACCTCACCTCTCTGAGCCTCAATATCTGAGGCAGAAAATGCAAAATGTTTCCCCAAATCCAGTCTCAACTACTATAGGCTCATTTCCCAGACTCCCTTGCAGCTAGGTGTAGCCATATGACTACATTTGGCCAATGGGATGTGAGACAAAAGTGATGCTCTACTCCCTGGTCGTGCAAAGAAATAAGTGAATAAATGACAGACACATGATCCAATAAGGAAGTAAATTAAAGTTCCAGGGAAGGATTTTATTGAGTACCTGCTATGTAGTCAAGATCTTTCTAGCTACTGAGAATCCAAGAGTGAACAAAATAGTCGAAGTGCTGGCTTTCCTGGAGCTGAGAAAGTATGCATATAATAGAAAAGATGCTAATACGCAAGATCATTTCAGAGCATCTGTTCCCAGGGGAGTAGAAGAAACAGGAAGGTGGGTAGGAGGAGAGGGTGGGGAAGGGGTTGAGTTAGACAGAATAGTCAGGGAAGGCCTCTTGGAAGAGGTGACATCTGAGCCAAGGCCTGAGTGAAAAGGACACACAAGTGATGGGTTTCTGGAGGGAAGAGGGCCCTGAACGCTGGCCAACGTGGCTTGAATTGAGTGATGGAGGGGAGGGCGGTAAGTGGCCACTGGTTCTTCTCTCTCTAGACCCAGTGGAGCTGAGCAGTGTGGAAACTGAGGAGCTGCAGCAGATCAAGTGGCATCGGAAGCAGCTTCTGGAGGACATCCAGGTGAGTACACACTCATACACTCACACTCACAAATGCACATGCTCACGTCTGCACACACACATGTATTCATGCTGACATACCCTCAGAACACACACTCACAAATACTCACACATGTTCGCACCCCGGCCTGGTCATGGGGGAGGCCAGATTCCAGCCACATCTAGCCTCAGCCCCAGCCCCCCAGGAATGAGGAAGAACAGAATTCCCAAGGGACGTTGCCCCCTCCTCTCACCCTCCTGGGCTCAGATGCCAGAAGAGAGCTGAGGGAGTGGGAGAGGGAAGGACAGCAATGGATTAAGCCCCTACTGTGTATGGAGCCTGCCAGGGGCTCTACACACCTCATCACATAGTAGGTTCTACTCTCCCCTGGGTGGCCTCAATCAACTCTCATCCCATGTTGGATCTCAGCTTCATCCCCCTAAATGGCCTTCGGAGACAGGCCCCCATTCTGTTCCTGCTCAGTCCTGCCCCTGGGCCTTTGCACCTGCGGTCGCCCCAGCCTAGAACTCTCCCAAGCTCTCGTCATGGCTCTTCCTTCCTGTTATTTCATTCTCAGCTCAAGTGCCGCCTTCTTCTAGAGGCCACCCTGACCGTCCTGGCTACAGTGACTGGGACCATCCCCCTCCCTCACCAACACGTGTCCCCCAAAGCATTCGCTCAGCAAGCATTTTATTGAGCACCTACCATGTGCCAGGCTCTTTCCACATCATTATTGGGATCATTTTCCGCACTGCCTTTTCATTTCCCCATGATTCCAGCCCCACTAGACCGCGAGCTCCATGTAAGGAGAGCCTGGGTCTGTCTTGCCCATCGCTGTATCCACAGCCCAATTACCAGAACATAGTAGATGCTCAAATTAATATTTGCAAGTGAGCCCCACTTTATTTGTGGGGAAGCCACTCAGTGACTTGGCAGAGGTCACGTGGATAGGAGCTGACTGAGCTCAGACACAGGCTCCAGGCCCCATGCTGTCCCTGGGGCCCAGGACAAGCCCCCAGAACCACTTCCAGCCCACAGATCTCAGGGGAGGTAAGGGAGAGCCGGGTGCCTTTCGGGGTCTCATGCCAACGCTCATGCTGCTGCCCTGCAGTGGGGTGCTGAAGGAGCTGCCACTTTGCCCTGTCTGTCCAGCAGTGGCAATTGGCAGAGTTAGGGGCCTCTCCTCTGCCACCGGGAGTCCCCTGCAGGGTCAAGGTGAAACAGGGAAAGCAGAGGCTCGAAGTCAGAACTTGGACATGTCACTTCACCTCTCCGAGTCTCAGTGTCCTCTTCTGTAAATTCCACTGGGATTGCAAAGCCCCTGAGGAGAGGGCCTGGGCTGTCTAGGACCTGGTGTACCCACAGTACCTGGCACACAGCAGGCACCGAGTCAGGGGCAAGTGACAGAGCAAACGGACGGATGGAGGGAAACAAGCAGAGCCGAGGCCTGCCCACAGGGCCAGCATCCGTGCCTCCTGGCTGCGGGGTGCGGAGGGGGACGGAGGGAGCCACGGAAGGAGTGTGAACGGGGCAGGACGGGTGCCAAGTGTGCTTCAGAAAGATGGCAGCCAGGTGGAGGACGGCTCGTCTGCTGGTTGGCTCGGGGGCGGGAGACTTTACGGCTGCAGAGGGGAGAGCGGGGAATGCTGGCAACAGAGTGGGGCAAAGGGTGGGGACTTGGGGACTGCCCCCTACCAAGTCAGAGGTGATGGAAGAGAGGATACGGAGGCGCTAGTTCGGCCTGGAAGTCTGAGGTTATGAGACATCTGGGGAGGGGATCTGTCAAGACAAAGCCGTTCGGGAGTCACGCCCAAGGGTGGGAGTGGTTGTGAGGGAGGGTCGTGAAACCCTTTCTGTCTTGGCCTCCGCCCCTGACTCTCCCTCCCTGTTATGCACCCCACCACCACCACAGAAGCTGAAGGATGAGATCGCAGATGTGTTTGCCCAAATCGACTGCTTCGAGACCGCACAGGAGAGGTGAGCGTCCTGGCCAGGGGATCCTAGGAAGCTGCCATGGTGGCTTCCTAAGGATGTCACACATCGTTAATGAGCAGGGGACACACCTGGGCTGGGGCCCTGGTACAGTCAGGAATCAGGGACCCCCCCCACCCCGGAGGAGGAGGCAGCAGTGGCGAGATAGGAACAGCGCATCCTGAGACTCCATCCTCGCTTCCAGACAGACAGCTCCCTCTGGAGACACCACCCCATCCTCCCATTTCCTCCATCCAAAGTCCTTCCCAACGCACTCTGACACAGCCCCTGAATAATCGCCACCCAGGAGCACCATGGGATGAGCCAGGGAGAAGGAAAACTCAGCCCGAAGGATGAGGATGGAGAAGCCAAGGGCCTCCAGAGTACAGGACCAAGCTTGTGGCAGGACCAAGGCTGGTCCACTTCACCCCACCTACAGGGTGTCATTCACCATTCTCCTTCTATAGGAAAACTCCCTCTGGCTTTGATACCTCCCTTCTCTGGGCCTCAGTTTCCCCACTCACAAGATGAGAATGTTGTTCTCTACATTCTCCACTAGGGCCCGAGGGCGCTGACTCTTATATCCAGTGTCCCAGGAAATCTGCACCCTGCCCCTTAGCTCTCTGATGCCTCTGATCTCCACCCGCCTAGCCCCGGCCCCCCTAGTTGTGCACAGGCACACACACGTGCACTCCCGCGTGGCCCCGTCCCCAGATTCTCTGGTCACGCCCCAACAGTAACAACATAACGTTGCCCGAGCAATTACCACCAGCTCTTTTCAGCGCCTTAACCTCCCAACAATGCTGGGAGGCAGGTGGCGATGTTGCTTCATTTTACGGACAAGGAAACTGGAGTTCCAGAGAGATGCAGCGGCTTGTCCGGGGAGGCTGCACGCACCAGTAGGTGTTAGAGCAGGATCTGCACCAGGAGGCTGGCTCCAGATCCAGAGCCTGTGCTCTCCACCCAGCCACCCCGTTACCTTGCTCACACTCCAAGCACAGGGACCCTCCAAATGCTCCACTGGGCTCCCCAGGCCGTGGTGCTGGGCCCATTGGAAGGGTCCGGTATGGCGGGTCCGGAGTGGCGGGTCCGGTGTGGTAGCTCTGGGGGAGCCCAGACCCTGCATTTCTCATGGTCTCACAGGTGATTTCAACACACGGCCTGGGGACACCCTCGCCTTGGAGGCCCCTAGGGAATATTGGCTCTAGCTGAGGGGAGCACTCGTGGTCCTCGAGGGTCCTTGGGTGTTGGAGGGTGTGCCCTGGGGTCCTGGGGCAGCCCACACTGACATCTTTACTTCTACAGCCGGATGGCTCAGAAGGAGAAGGAGCTATGCATTGGGCGCAAGAAGTTCAATATGGACCCCGTGAAGGTAGGCAGTTGCGGTGGGGTGGGGAGGACTTGGGCCATGGGGTCGGGGGTACCGCATGCTGGGCACCTCCACAGTGTTCTCTCGGTTCCCTCAGTTGACACAATGATCCGCCCTACAGATGAGGAAACTGAGACCCCTCAGGGCTCTGCATCTGTCCAGTGCCCCACAGCCAATCACGGCTAGGGGCTCTGTCACCCACAGCACAGCAGCCCCAGGCATGAGGTGGGAGCCCGGAGGATGGGTGGAGTCTGTGATGTCCATGGACCTGGGGTCCCTTGGCACTAAGCCTCTGTTTCCTCCTCTGGGAGTGGGGCATTGGACAGGGGGCACTTTAGACTCTGGAGCTCAGTCTCCAGAAGTGTCTTCTAACTACCCACCTGGGGGCGGGGGGTGCGGCAGATCTGGGGTGCTAGCACAGAGTACTGAGAGCTCAGCTACTGCTCTCCCCACCCTAACACCGCCCCCTCCAACAACCTCACTGGCCCAGGAGCAACCCCAGCCCCCTCCCCTGCCCTGCTAGGTGGCTGTGGGCTCCTTTCCTGCAGGAACAGAGACAGGAGGGAGCCACAAGCTGACACACAAAGGAGGTGGCTCAGGGCAGCCAAGGGGCCCTGGAAATTTACTGCTCTGGCTTAGAAGGCTGACTTCCCTCCCCGTCACAGGTCCAGAGTCACATATCCACTCACATCCCACAGCCGCAACAATCAGACCCCTGCCCCCATCCGCAGGGACCACACACACACACACACACTCACACAAACTCACACTCCCACCCAAGCACCTAGGAGGGGCCACTGAGGGGCCCCCAGGACCCTCTGCCTGGCACCCACAAACAGAACCCCCATCTTTCAGAAGCCTCTTCTCCATAACAAACAAGGACACAAAGGAACCGTCACAGAAAACCAGAGGCCAACTCCTGAAACTCCTAAAATTAGAATGACAGACGCCGTGTGCCTGAGTGGTGGGGAGAGATGTTCGTGACACTGTCAGATCAGAAAAGCAGGTTCCACTGTGGCAGGCGTGGCACGCTCCCACTTTCATACAAAAAGGGAACGAAAGTCACCACCATAGCAACTGTCTACCTCCAAGTGGTAGGACTTGGGCGATTTCCTCTCCTTTTGATTTAGCTGGGTTTTTTCCCTAATTTTTATACAATGGACATAGATTACCTGCGAGAAAAAAAAAA